AAATTGTCTCCGAACAGTATGCACTCCGGGGCATCTGCTTTCTCGACTTAAGCCTGTTTCCCTTAGTTCCTAACACCCCAAAAGCAGGGTCCTGACGAGGGACTGAGTGGACCTAGGGCAAGCCGTGAGCTACACTGGCATTGAAATGGGCCCAGCAAAAGTGCATGATACTCAATTATAAGTTGAGAGAATGATCATGGACAAATTCTATCATGATCCAAAAGTAATGACGAGATTAGAACCCTGCTAGGGATAGGAAAGACTAATCTGGCCTGAGCACTGTCATCTGAGATCAAGATGGCCCCAGGAGAGCAATTCTTCATGTATCTCTTACTGTGTTCATACAAAATGAGTAACAATATGAATGTTTATACGTTTGTTGGACAAGGAGAGGAGCAATACACCCATGGGATTCCGCTCTTTGGGTGGCTCATCCTGCTGAGTGAGAATCTGTCCTAGAAGAAGCTTCCCCTGAGGGAAAGACTTTACCTCTGTTGATTGTATGACCACACCTATGTGTAAGCCCCAACCCCTCGTGCTTTGGGATTTAACTAGACTGTAAGAGTGTGCTGGGGGAGGAGAAGGAGAAGGAGAGAGCCAGAAGGAGATCGAAGTGGCATCAAGGAGAATGAAGTAGCATGGGGGAGGAAGAAGGAGAAGGAGAATCAGAGGAGAATAGAGATGGGAATGGAATAAACACACCAGCCAGCCTGGCCCTCATTTCTTCCTTCATCTGCCCATCGCCATCAAACTCCCCAGGGTGGGGGAAGCGGCCCGGGACTACCAAACACAGGTGGCAGAGAGAAAGAGCCACCACACCGAGGCCCTCCCGTAATTCCTTTAGTAATTACACAGTCGTGAGCACTTGCTCTCACACGTTCAAGGGTGAGGTTTTCACACTGGGGAGTCCAGTCAGTGGCACCCTGCATTACAGCTCCCACGACTGCCACGAGCACTGCAAACCCCATCTAAGCATTGTTGTTTGCTTGTGAGCACTCAGGCAGGAGGGGAGCCCCACTGCCCGTGGGCCCTCCTGTTGGAAGTGAGAAGAGACAGCAGCATCCTGGACATGTGGGCAGGCCCAAAAAGAACCAAAAACTCAAGAAAGAAAAGTGCAATTCGCTCCGTCGACAGCAGGAAGACAGCGGACAGGAGAAGGTGGCAACAGGGACGAGATGCTCAGAACCACCTCAGGCTGGACTTTATTTGGATCAAGGCTTCCTCCTGGTCGGGTCAGGCGGGGGCTCACATACAGTGGGTGCATGTAGACAGGCACCTGGTTGGGCCTGGTCGGGTCAGGTGCGGCAGTATGCACAGGACAGTGTGCACAGGTGCTGTTCAGACACTCACACCCCCAGCATCCGGGGATGGTCAGGACGAGGTGGAATCCCCAAAAGCCAGAGGAGGACCTTGCAGCCCATTCTGGCGTGCCGAGTGCCTGCTCCTCGGTGTGACAGGAAGCCAGGAGGAAGCCGGAGGTGCCAGCAAATGCCACTTTCTCCCAGAGAATGTAGAAGAGTGAAACCAAACTGGGGAGAAGCCCTTCCACTATGCCCCAGATGCCCACCACGTGCAACACAGGTGCAGGAGCATTGCTGGGAACAGAGGCATCCCCTTAGAAACAACAGCCCACAACCATCACTCTGTTTCTTTCACTTCACACATTAAAATGAAAAATATGTCTGGACCAGAGCCAGGACCTTGCCCACGGCCCTCTTTGTATCCCAGCTTCACAGGCTGTACATTGTAGAATACGGACACCAGTCCCTTCAGGGACGATGAGGCGGTCACTTTCGGTGCTAAGTATGTGATGATCCTGGAAAAGACAAGAAGATGACCACCGTGAGGGGGGGCAGACAGGTGGAGAAGGCCTGCGCTGTGCAGAGGGGATCCTCAGGACAGTGGAGAAAACGTGGACATAGGAAACTACTATCAAAGTGAAACACTAAAGCCGAACCACAGCTCCCGATGGTGAAGGTGTACTTGAGAATCTGGTCCCCGGCACAGGCCAGCACCAGCAATGAGGAATGTCTCAGGAGAAGTGTGCACGATGTTGGTCCCACAGAAGCGGACAGAGGACGTCCCTGCCACATGCAGATTGCCGTACATGCAGCTGCTGAACCACAACACCATCACCATCCACACATAGGCATCTCGGGGACCCAGGTTGGGCACAAGGAGCCACATGCCAGGGGCACATACTGTTTATCTGCCACATGCCATGAGCATGTGTCATTCATCCTGACCCTGGAAACAGCAGCCAGCTGCTTCTCTCACTAATAGCAGCAGCCTCCACATGGGTGGCATCAGCAGTGGTGTGGCAGGTCCCTGCTGAGAGACCCGCGGGAACAGCCTGGAGGGCAGCCCCACCCCGTGCAGTACAGTTGAGTATGTGTACAGTTTGTGGTATGTGAGTCAGATCTGAGTGATCAGGTGTTTACAGCAGGGCATGTGCAGTCGGGTGTGGCGGGGGCTCACGTACAGTGGGTGCGTGTAGACAGGCACCTGGTTGGGCCTGGTCAGGTCAGGTGCGGCAGTGTGCACAGGACAGGCACCATTCCCCATGGTGTCAGCACGCTTCCCTCCAGGCCAGTGCAGACTTCATGTCTGTGGGGAGTAGAATGTTTTCTATCTGTCCTGCACACGGCCAGCTTCCCACTGAGTGGGACAAGGATTGAGTTAGTTTTTCATGACCCATCATTTTCAGGCTTCTTCTGTGGGGCACTTTAAATCATTTTTATTGGGGTCACACTGGTCCCCAGCCCTGCACCCAACAGCTGCTGATACCAAGATCAGATGAGGAAGTTCTCAGATCACTGAGAGGGGCCGCAGCTCAGCAAAGCTTCTTCTACTCTGGGAGCAGCCAACACGTCCACTGCCTCTGACCTTCTCACTTCACGTGGACATGCCATTTGTTCATGCCTGTAACTGTATGCCCTGGATGTAGTGATGCCGGTGTCCGTGGTGCTGAGATTTTCATTCTAAACTCGGACTGTGCAATGCTACTGTAAAGGGTCTCAGTGGGCATTGGCGACTTCATTTCTGTGTGCTGTTAACCCTCATGTCTCTGAGTAGGAGCTGCAGACTGCATAAACAGAGGTGTTTTCAGCTCCAGACTAAGTAAAAGCCCGTGGAAGAGGCATTCCTTGCAGGCAGGCGTGCAGTGCTGGCAGGGAGGAAAAATGCAAGTGGACACAGGCTTTGGGAAGACTCTTCGGCGCGTGTCAGTCTGAAAGTGATCTCACCGATGAAATTGCTCAAAAAAGTGTTTTAAAAGAAAACACACACCTGTAAAATATATATATACAGTACTAGTCATAGCTGACTTTTCATGTCGAAATTTTAAAATATTTTTATTCACATTCAGAAATGCGCATGCATTAGAAATGGAAAACTGAGCATCCCCAGCAGCTGTCGAATGGGTGTCTGGGAGATGTGTGAAGGACAAGACAGCCAGGCAGAGCAAACAGTGACTTGGGGTCTCTGTGCTGCTTTGCAGACAAGGGACATCCTAAAGCAGATCTTGGGGAGACGTGCCCAGTTTCTCCCAGCAGCCCCTGGAGCACAAAGCAGGAAGGCCGTGGAAGGTTCTGCACTTGCCCCTAGTGGGCACAGTGGCATTGGAAGTGGCCCACTCTCCTGACAGGAGGGGTGCACACAGACTGAAGGGTAGCAGCGTGTCCACCCTTCATTCCCACACAAGTGTGATGCAAGCTGTACGCGGTGTTCCTGCTGTTGCTGGGTCTCAGGGCCAGAGCGCCCGCTGGGTGGAAGGAGGGTCCCTTCATGGGCTGACGCCTCCCTGCAGCAGAGCTCCTGGGAACCCACTAATTAGCTCCCAGTCTGTGTGTCCCAGGAGGTGTGAGGCCAGTTAAGCCTCCTGCAGCCCGTGGCCCTGGAGCTGCAATGGCCTGGGCAGCAATGAGGTGGGTGCATGCATCCTGCTGGGCCAACCTTCCAGTGCAGCCAGGTGCTTCCAGGTGAGCCAGAGGGTCCCGAGTGTCCCTGAGAATCCAGTGGGGAAAGTGTGTTTCTAGGAGGGAAGGGACTTCCCAGCCCCGCGGACCTCGACTCTACACTCATAAAGGGCACCATACTGGACTCACCAGAAAGCCAGGGGGACCCGAAAGACTGGCACTGTCGGTGAGAGGGGTCGGGGGGGCACAGTGAACAGGGGTGTGGGTACAGCGGCGCTCCGGTCACTGAGTAGGGGATTCAGTGCAGCTGCTTCCTCACCAGCATCCCAGAAAAGTCACAGTTTCCCTCAGTTAGTGTTCACATACACTGTCCAGTGGGTGCACAGGCCTGGGGTCCTGAAGAAGGAAACTATTGATGGGCCAGCTGCTTCCTGTGAGACCAGGATGAGTGGATATGTGGGACCTTCCAGGGTTCTGCTGGCTTTTCTGCAGTAGCTCACAGGAGGCTTGCTTTGTTTGAGCTCTCCACCTAACGGCATCTACGTTACAGTGTCCCGGACAGTCAACGGCCACAAATCATTGGCACGATTCTACCTTGTCCCAGAGAAACCTTAGATTCCTGCCATGCCCCCTACCCCACAGGGCTACACTGCAAGAGGCTAGAAAAGGAAAGGGGAAAATCTAGCTTCTCAGTTACTCTTAGGGATGCGCCCAGGGTATTAAAAAAACATTTCAGTCAACCGAAGCAGATTTCCAACTATGATTTCATGCTACTTCCTTTATCCACACCCCCTGCTCCTCTGATGCTAGTCTGTGAAAGACAGAGAAATCTTTCACTTATGGACAGAGAAGGTGGGATTTAGTGGGATTTCTGCAAAAGCTCAAGACTGTTATAGAACAGCCTGCTTTGCTTTATTTGTAAGGCTAATTTATTTATAAAGCTAACATGCTTGGCTTTACACCCTTTGAGGACATTCTAAGTCATCCCGGGGAGTGGCCGCATGCTTTATGAATAGTAGGGCCGGCAAGTAGAGAATGGTCCTTAGGCACCAGGCCAGCTGTCTTTTGCCTGCACAGTTGAGAGCCAGCATGCCTGAGCCACTAGCCAACGCAACGGCCATCATGGAGTTCCTGCTCCTGGGGCTCCCCGATGACCAGGGGCTGCAGATTCTCTGTGCCAGCCTCTTCCTCCTGATGTATCTGGTCGCCCTGACGGGAAATCTGCTCATCATCACCCTCACCACCACAGACTGGCGACTCCAGGCACCCATGTACTTCTTCCTGAGGAACTTGTCCTTGATCGACATATGCTACATCTCTGCCACCGTCCCCAAGTCCATCCTGAACTCTGTGGTCCACAGCTACTCCATTTCCTTCGCGGGCTGTGCGGCTCAGGTGTTCCTGGTGATAGGCTTTGCGGGGGCAGAGTTCGCCCTCCTGCTTGCGATGTCCTATGACCGCTATGCCGCCATCTGTCACCCCCTGCACTACGAGGCCATCATGAGCAGAGGCACCTGTGTGCGGATGGTGACGGCGTCGTGGTTCAGCGGCTGCGTGTACGGCTCTCTGCACGTGGCAGGGACGTTCTCCGTCCGCTTCTGCGGGTCCAACATCGTGCACCAGTTCTTCTGCGACATTCCCTCGCTGCTGGTGCTGGCCTGTCCCGGGGACCAGATTCTCGAGTACGCCTTCATCATCGGGAGCTGTGGTTTGGCTTTTGTGTGTTTCGCTTTGATGGTAGTTTCCTATGTGCACATTTTCTCCACTGTCCTGAGGATCCCCTCCACCCAGGGCAGGTTTAAGGCCTTCTCCACCTGTCTGCCCCACCTCACAGTGGTCACCCTCTTCCTCTTCTCAGGATTTATCGCCTACTTAGGGTCGGCTTCAGAGTCGCCATCAACGTTGAATGTCTTCATGTCTGTGCTATACTCCCTCTTGCCTCCCAGCCTGAACCCCGTCATTTACAGCCTGAGAAATGCAGATATGAAGGTGGCGCTTAGCAAGTTTTGGGGTGGGAAAAATGCAGTCTAAAGTCACAGTGACTGATGCCAGCAGACTGGAGTATAAATGCACTCTCGTCCGCAGTCTGTCTCATCGTTGCAGCCCCTTAGTGTGTGGGGCCCATGGGTCTGTATTGTGTCTTAGCAGTTCCCGGGTCAGGGGGTGACGCCAGCTGCAACGTTGACACCCATAGTTCACGATGGCCATGCAGTCATGATTTTCAGCTCCTGTACTTCCTCACCAGCACTACTTCTGTTTCCACTTTGGGATGGTGTCACAGTGCTTTCAGCTGCAAGCACTGCGAATCCTGCTTCCAGTTCCTCCTTGCAGTAGTTTCTGAAAGTGAGTAATTTCAGATTTGTGATTGTCCACTATTCATTTGTGTGTCAAGGATATTTTTCATAAAGAATGTTGGATGGATTCAGTCATCAATGCACAGATCTGGGTTTGCAAGTACCACCGTCTTGCGATCTTTAAGGAACTGGTTTGCAAATGGGAAGTTCTCACTACCCAGTCCCTCTTGAGGAAGTTAACCACGAACAGAGTTATGGGGTCACACAAGCCATGCTTTCTCTGCTGTATTCTTGTCCTTCAAAATCTTGTTTCCCAGAAACACAATGTCTAATGATGTAGCACTTGTTTGAGATAGAAATTCCATTTCTCCTCAATTTAAATTTGTCCATTTTCATTTACTCCTAAAATTATTTTTAATTTTATGTTAGTCTGTTACCGTTAAATGTGTACCTTAGTTTTTTTTTACTTCCAGTTTACTTGTAATACAGTCATGTGGAAATTAGTTTTCTTTGTATGACATTGGCTTTATTCCACCATCATTCTTTTCTGGGTCTCTTGTCCTTACACTTGTTTTCTCTGTCATTTCCCCTGTATTTCTTTGTTTTTATTTTCCTCCTCCTTAAAAACAGCGTTAACTGACTCCCTGTCAATAACCTATTTCTGTAGTTATTCACTGTTCTTTTTCTGACTGCTCACTATCTCCTTTTTCTTCTCCTTTCCCTGCTTGTGGTGGAATCTGCAATGGGAGGATGATGGTTCATCCTGGTGGTGGTGGTAAGAGTTTGGCAGGGTCACCCTGCCTACTGAAGTGCTTCATGGGGGCTCCCGTTGTTTCTGCACAGAGCCATAGATGAGGAATTTCCCTGGTGCCTTGCTCTCATTTGGAAGTCTGAGCCCCACATGGTTAACAAGGGTGTGCTTGGCTTTCGGCCGTACCTTGATACTGCGGCTCACACCTGTGACATAGGAGCCAGCAGGAACAGGTTCCCCTCGGCCACTGCCTCCTCCCGTCTGTATTCAGGGGGTCATTCCACTGCCTCTAGATGCGGCTTCATGAGGGCTTCTCCTGCCGGGGTCATGCTCCTGGTGGTGATTCTGACCCATCTGGGAGTTGGGCATCTGCACCTTCCCCACCTTCAGCCTCCCTAAGGGGTGGCGGAAGTCTGGTCTCACTGCCCTTCTCCCTCCTGTCTTGAGCTCTTGGAGCAAGTGATCCGGGCTGTTGAACCTTCACACCCGCTGCCCCCTCTCTCAGACCCTGTCCCCATGCTGAACCTCTCGCCTTCTTTTGCTTTCATTCATCACGGTGAAACTTTCAGTTTCATATTTGTTGCGTAGCTTGGGGTGCCAGGGACATGGCTTGTTTGTTCTTTTTTGTTTGTTTTGAGGCCACACCCAGTGTTGCTCAGGGATCATTTCTGGAGAAGCTTCGGGGACCATATGGGGTGCTGTTATAATTTTGATGTGGTCTTTATCTCCTCTAAATGCTTCTCTAGGGGGTATGTTTTAATGTCAAGCTTGTGTCTTATAGTTGGCTGTAAAAGTTTTATGGTGTCGCATGAAGATCCTTACCACATCAGTCTGGTCCTTCATCTTCATTGTTATTGTTTTGTTTGGGGGCCACACCGTGATGTTCAAGGGTTACTCCTGGAGGAGCTCAAGGGACCGCATGGGTTGCCAGAATTGAACCTGGGACACTTGCATGCAAAGCAAGTGCCCTCCCCCCTCTCCTATAGTTCCAGCCTCCAGTCTTCATATTTTTAGTATCGTGTCTCTCCCTCTTCCCCTCTCTCTCCTCCTCTCTCTCCTTCCCTTCTCTCACTCTCCTTCTTTCTCCCTCCCCTCTCCCTTCCTTTCTCTCCCTCCTCTCACTCTCCCTGTCCCTTACTCCTTCCCCCTCCCCCCTCTCCATCTCTCTCTCTCTCTCTCTCTCTCTCTCTCTCTCTCTCTCTCGTTTCTCTCCCTCTCCCCCTCCCACCTCTCACCTCTCCCCCTCTCTCCCTCTCTTCGCCCTCTCTCTCCCCCTCCTCCTCTTTCTCCATAGTCTTGTCTTGGCTTTCTGGTAGGATGACTCTGGGTCTGTCCCTCTGCTGTAACCCTTGCTCCATACCCCCTCTGATGAATATTGAAGGGGTGCTGCCCCGTTGTGGCTGGGACGTTGTGGGAGGCCTGGTTCTCTCGCTGCCTCCTTGGCGTGGGGGTGCTGTGTGCTTGTTCCAGTGCCAGAGGGGTGCTGCCCAGTGGCTTGCCCGGGTGCTTTCAGCACTCTGTTGTGGGTAGGGGGTGAGATACAGTCACCAGCAGTCCAAGTCTACATCCAGCGCCTCAGGCCACAAGCCCGAGTTGGAAATCCCTCCTCGGGGTCCATAAAGCCCAGCCTTGGTTTCACCAATGAGATGATGGGCTGTTGAGGGCAAGCGTCTCCTGACCGCCCACTTCCAGCCCACGCCCCAGTCTTGCCTTTGATTGTGTCACAGGCTTTCACATCAGGACACGGCACCACGCTGTCCGAGACTCTGCTCTGCCCATTTCACCAAAACCTCAAGCTGGAGAACTGTTTCTGGTCAAAATGCGTATTTTTGGTACCTCAGAGGAATGGTGATAAATAGCAACATCTGGGGAAACGGAGAACAAAAATCGGGTCCAGATACCTGGAGGCCCCTGCAGGATCCCGTCCTGCAGCTGAGGCTGAGAGGGGGGCTGTGGTCACGTCTCTTCTCCCCATCAGCCCCACCTGAGCAGGAGGCGGGCCCCGGAGCCCTGGCCTGGCCTGCCCTGTCCTGCCAGAGGGACGGTGGAGGCATGGCCGGGCCTACTGGAGGGACCCTGGAGTCCACTTCTGCTGTAGGGGCCCTGGAGAGCTAACAGGGACAGCCCTGGGACCGGCTACCACCCAGAGCGGTGGCTGGGCAAGCTAATGGGCCCCGCAGGCAGGCCCTCCGGCCCCAGGAGGAGCTGCTATCTGCCAGCCCCTCATTCCCCAGAGGGCACCGTGTGACTGGCACCCAGTTCTCTTTAAAGCCGCTGAGCCTTCCGTCATGCCAGGGCTGGAGAGAGCTGGTATGACCGGCAGCACCTCAGCCACTGCGCAGCAGGTAAGTGGCCCCTGGGGTCTCCAACTTTGCAGGAAGTTCCTGGGCAAGAACGTCTGCAGAGCCCCCTGAGCTGATCTTCACAGACCGTTTCTGAGCCAGGGGCTCCCAGGCCACTCTCCAGAGCCAAAGAGGGATCGGAACAAGGGTCAGAGAGAGCATGTGCCACATAGGGGTGGGGAGCATCCCACATAGGGGTGGGCTCTGAGCATGGGCATGGGGCCTGGTCTGGGGCAGGACAGACACACCTGCTCTGATCTGCCTGCCTGGGTTGTGCACCCCAGAATAATGTAGTAAGTATCCCAGTGGCCTGGAACCCTGTCCCCACCGACCCCAGAGAGGTTTGACTGGCCAGGCTTACGCCACTGAACCCAGCATGGCCAGGGCCTTGTGACTGACAGGAGGTCATCTCTGCCCCCGCTGGCCCCACCACCAACGGCACAATTGTCTCTCCCTTCAGTCACCTGCGCTGCCCTCAGCCCTCAGAGGGAGCCTGGTGGGGCTGCTGGTGACTATCAGGCAGCCGCATCTGTCCCTCCCACAGCATGTAGGGTGTGTGTGTGTGTGTGTGTGTGTGTGTGTGTGTGTGTGTGTGTGTGTTTAGGGGGCAAGGGGAGGGAGACTCTACACCAGACCCAGGCCACTGAGCTTGGAGGGACAGCGGGGCCCAGACCTGGCGAGACAGGAGAGTGCCCTGGTCCTTCCTGTGGGCAGGGCCGTTTGCTCACGGCAGTTCGGCTCAGCGCTGCTTCTGTAGACGTCTCCTCCCCCAGTGTCAGTTCAGCTGTGCCTTCTGATGAGCCTATGCCCACTGGCACTCTGGTGACCACACTCCCTTCTTACTGCCTTGCATCTCCTCTCCCGCAGCGCAGCCACGTCAGCACTGAAGCCAGCGGGTCACATGCTTCTCTGGGGGCGTAAGGACTGAGTGTGAGAAGCAAGTTGTCGGCCAAAATGCTTGATGTTGGGCCTGGAGCGAAAGGACAGTGGGTCGAGCACTTGCCTCACATGTAGCTGACAGTTGGTCCCCCAGAACCTGCCAGGCGTGATCCTGAGCACCAAGCCAAGAGAAAGTCCTGAGCACCAAGATGGGGGTGGCCAGATAAAGAACAGCAACAAAAGGTGCCATTCTATTTGTTTTCCAGCAGTTTTCTTTCTGTGTTGGGCCCAGGGGAGTTGTGAGACTGTGCAGACTCCCGCAGAACCATGCAGGTCACAGTAGCACATTCAGACTCACGCCCTCGCCCGTTCCTTCAGCACCCATAGTGGGTGCGTAACCCAGACATGATCCTTAGAGGTATCAAGCAGGTGCTTGGAGAGAAGCAGGGTCTGCGTGGCGCTGAGCTCCGTCCTGCCTGCCTGTGTCCACACTAGGCGAGCCAGCCATGGGCAACCTGACGGGCAGCACGGACTTCTGCCTGGTGCAGTTCTCCGCCTCCCGGGAGCTGCAGTGGCTGCACGGAGCCCTGTTCCTGCTCATCTACCTGGGCTCGCTCCTGGGCAACCTGCTCATCGTCCTGCTGGTCAGCCTGGACCACTGCCTGCACACGCCCATGTACTTCTTCCTGAAGCACCTGTCCCTGCTGGACGCCGGCCTCATCTCCGTCACCGTGCCCCGGCTCGTCGCCAGCTCCTTCTCGCACC